CTATACCAAATTTCTATGCTGCTTGGCACCTAAATGCAGCTCCCCCCCTGCCAAAAAAAAAAAAAAAAAAAAAAAAAAAAAAAACCTATGAAATTCAACACTAATCCCCCTGAATTATTTGTTTCCTTCACTCTTGAAAGCACTGTTTCCATGTTTACCCAGATCTGAGCACCGTGTCTTCTGGGAAAAGAACATCTGTCATTCAAACACATGGAGAAAACTGGCTAGAGCAGCTGAGTATGGCAAGTGCTGAAGTCCTTGAGACACCCAAGTTGCCTTTCCCTTTTTTTTTTTCTATTTTTGCAGCATTCCTGCTCCTTTGCAGATTTAATTTCTGTTGAGCTCAATGTTTTGCTCAACAAGTCTCTTAACTCTTCTCTAAATAGTTTCTAAAATGTTTAGAAAAGGAATTCACAAAATCAAATACCTAGGGAGTCAGTGGAATCCCGAGGACTTTCCTTCTGTCTTCAGTGTTGAGGTATTTCTAATAGGATGACTACTGGGGAAACAAGCAGTAGGAATGCAGAGATGATTGACTCTGGGAAGTCTTGGTGCAGTTTTTGCTCAAAGTTCACCATGTACCCTTTCAGGACATGAAGGATATAGAGTGAAGAAACTCACCCGCAAAAATTTCCTTGGGACACTCATTTAGCCTTTGCCCTGAAGAAAGACACACCCTCCTCTCTCCTGCTTTCTACACCTCCATGAAGAACAGCTAGACAACTATGGCAGGACATTATGCAGACTGTGGTTTCTGTATTAGTTCTCATCTACATTCTCTAGATTTTTTTTTTTTTTTTTTTTGGTGGTGGTGGTACTGGGGTGACCTACCACTGAACCACATCTCCAGGCCTTTTTTAAATTTTGAGACAGGGTCTCACTAAGTGGCCCAGACTCAAACTTGAAATGCTCCTGCCTCAGCCTCCCAAGTAGCTGGGATCATGGGTATGTGCCAGCACACCCCAATTCTCTTATTTATTTGGTGAGGATGGGGGGAAACCAGGGATTGAACTCAAGGGCACTCAACCACTGAACTGCATCCCTAATCCTATTTTGTATTTTATTTAGAGACAGGGTCTCACTGAGTTGCCTAGCACCTCGCTATTGCTGAGTCTGGCTTTGAACTCACAATCCTCCTGCCTCAGCCTGCCAAGCTATTGAGATTTCAGGCATGTGCCACCATTGCCGGGCTCTCTTATTCTTTTGATTAAAGCTATATAACTCTTCTAACTACACCCATGACAGTTATTTTGGAGAAGCTATGTCTAGAAACTTGGCGGTTCCCATCACTGGAAGTCCACCTTTTCTGGAATAGGGAGCAATCTTCTAAAGAATATTAATGTGCTAACATAATTTCTTAAAATAAGACATCGGAGCACTGTCAACTATATATAATTATACATAATGAACCAAAAGTCATGTTCTGCACCTGGCTCATGTTGTGGAAAATAGATCCAACATTTTAAACTATTTATAAGACTCTGGACTCTTTCAGTTTATAATTCAAAAATGACCCCTTACATAAAAGAGTAAACTTCTGGCCTCCTCTCAATTAGGATTTAAATGCTAGAAAAAAGTTTCCCTCAAGTACTAGTTTGACAATGTTGAAAATAAACCCACTGTCACCCATCTGATAAAGAAAACTTACCCTTTTCAATTTGGCAGCAGCCTCTCCAGAACGGATTGCAGTCAGTAAACTCTGTCGGATCTGTTCTGGGTCAGGGCTTTGGAATGTTAAAGAACTTTGTCTCTTAAGGGTGAATGATGGGCAGTCAGCTGGAGTTGGTGTTGGAGAATTTTGTTCATTATGTGCAGAGTTATTTGGCTACAAAAATAAATGCATGATATTTATATGAATTCCAAGGGAAGAATAGTTCAATTTTATAAAACATTTTCATCACCAATAGTTCTTTAAGAATCACCATTTGCCCAATGGGTAATTTAGATATGGCTGTTTCTTCACCCAATAAATTCTCTTTACTGCCAGAGCTGAACTAGAAGATGATGACATTACTTTACTTTCCCTTCCCTTCAACAGAGGAGGCTAAGGAAGAAAAATGGTTTCTCTCTTTCATGGATACAGTTTACTGTGTGGAGTCAAATAATGCTGATATTTCCAATACATGGAGTTGACTAGAAGAGCCAAACTAATAATCAGAAAATTCTACAAAATTAAAAATAATCCATGTTCATGGTTTCAATATACAGGTTGGAAAATGATTATTTTTGAAAGCACAAATATTGACAATTTCATAGTGGTTAAATCTAATGTATCTTTTAATAAAGGAATATTAATTACTACATGTAAATATGTATTTTGTGTTTCAGGAAGTCATGGAGACTTTGTGTTGGCTGTTTTATTTTTCCCATGAGGATAAAAATAAACATTAGTAACTTCCAAATTGAAGAATAAAAATCTTAAACTTCTTAGGAAGGAATATTCAGTATCAGAATTAACTGCCAAATCAAGTAATCTTAAAGATGTCTTTTTCCAACTGCCATAAAAAAATGAGTTAAATATGGTTTGGACAATGACTCAAAAAATGCATTATATAAATCAAAGTTCCATTGTTTAGGAATGGTATTCCAGTTTAAGGAAAAAATGCAGGTTTTATTCCCAACTCAAGAATTAAAGTCTATATCATGTATCACTTCCTGATGCTTTAACAAAGTAATAAATGTAAATATTTTCCACTTTAAATATTGCTTTAAAATTACTGAAAAATATGCACTTGGCAGTATGGTTCATGTTCTCTTACTCTAAGAATGTTTGAAAAAGTAGTGTAAAATACTTCTGGAACTGTCACACAAATATGAAAGTATTCTTTAAACACCATCAGAGTAAATGTACACAAAACATTTCTTAAAACTCACATGCAGATTATCATGAGTCACACTGTGAATTTCACACCCTCATTGCCTATACAGTCTGAACCTGGCAAAATACACCATTTAGTTGACTAAGCATCAACTCAATGACACACTTTTTGGTAAGTTGTTAATGCTAGACAGTAGTTAGATGATGTTTTAGTCAACACATGTGTAACTGGAAAAGGTGACCTTAACAAAATGGGGAATTAAGAAAGTTACACTTTAGAACTGATTTCAATTTGAAATAGTTACATGCAAAAATGTATGGTCAGCTGTGAGGTTGAATGTATATAATAGAAAAGGCACAGCCCAGGTGTTCGGTTACTTTATCTAGTCTTTGATACTGCTGTTTCATATAACCAACACTGTTTATATTGCATTATATAGTACTATAAAACTTGAAGAGAAAATGAAGTAAGCCAGGACATCCAGAAAAATTTAAAATGAATTAGCAAAGAAAGTAGTTCAAACTCTAAACTAGTAAATTAACAAGGCCTATGAATGAAGAAAATTTAATATCATTACTAATAATACAATTATATAATGACAACCTTATAGTAATATCTAATCAAGTTATGTGAATTATACACAGTAAATAATATTATATGTATTACTTTCTTCCCTATAGTAGCATGATATCCTATTAATAAGAATTCAGAGTTCTGTAATGCACAAACACACCAACATGCTTGTTATCCACTATTTTAACCAGGTTCCATAATAATCTGAATACTTATTTTTTAAAAGGTAACATTTACCTTATCCATCATATCAATTTGTGGGATGTCTGCACACCTGTGTACACAGCAAGTCTTCCCATCCTCTGTGTGAGCTGGAGGTTGGGTGGATGCACCCACACTGGGTGACTCGGGCCGTGCCTTACTGAAAGACTGTGACCTCTTCACAACAGCAAGGGCAAATGGCGAAGGAGCAGAACTTGAGTATGGTCTTGGGGCACCAAAAGTTTTCAAAGTCTTCAGGTTTACTGCTGCTACCTGACTAGCGGGAAGAGGCATAGGCTTGGGAGCTACCGGAGGAGGAGAGGTTTCAGCAGGTTTCTGGTTGATGATGTCATCCTCCATCTTTTTAATTTGGGGCTGTGGAGCTGGGTGAGTAGTTTTACTTAAGGGAGGAAGTGTCTGTTCTGAATGAGGCAGTGTGTCCCTTTCCATCTCTTTTTTTGTTAGTTCCTTGGGGGCAGGATTAGGGACAGTATGGACATTCTTGGCAGCTGCAGATGTCACATACTGACCTGATACTCTCTTCTGCATCTGCAAGAAAAAAGAACTTGGTTTGGCCTGGGGATTTGAAATCCGAGATTTAAATTTCGATTCCAAAATATTGTTTATTTCTTCCAAATTTGGCGCAAAAGGAGCTGTGCCAGTGTCTCTAGTCATTCTGGGAGGTTTCAGAGGATTAGTCACAGCACCATCGGGTGCGCTCACAGCCCTGTGCAACTGTTGCTCTGTTCTCAAGTTAGGCTTTGGTTTAGGGTCTAGCTGTAGCTCCCCTGGGCCTTCAGAAGTAACAAGGTCTTGTGTTTGCAGGGCAACCTCCTTCACATTCCCTGAAGTATGAATCTTTTGATCATCTTTATACCCTATGGTTTCTGATTCCCAGTCTTTCAGTATATCCAGGGATTTGGGAGGTACTATTTTGTAAGTAGTCATTCCAATTTTGGGTATATACTCTCTTGTAATTTCATTGGAAGGTTTTGGCTTGGGATTATAGTCTTGTCTATAAAGTGGCAGATTCTTTAGGTAAGAAGCAGATGAATATTTATCAATTCCATCTACAGGAGACAAAAGATCATCATTGCTTTGTGCACAAGCTGGATCTTTTATGGCAAGTCTGTCTTCTGAATATACGACTGGGGTGCTCTGAATCCTCAATTCTCTTGAGGTAATTACAGAATTTTGTAGATTCAAAGATAGGTGTTGAGTTGGTTTGTTATTTGAAGTTTGCACACTTTCATCAACTTTGAAAGCAGACAAATTATGATCTTGGTGATTCCCCTCAGAACTGTTGCTGGAAGGGATTGTCTGAATTGCCGCATCTTGCATTTTCATCTTTTCTGCACCAAGCTGATTCAGTTTGTGGTCTGGTACTGATGCTGCTGCTAGATGATTTTCCTTGGAAGTTACAACATTAACAGTTTTATGTGCTTGATATCTTGACTGTCTGTCAACTTCCATGACTGCATCCTTATTTTTTGCTTCCCCTTCTACATTGATTTCTGTTCTCATTCTATTTTTCATAGTATCTTCTGTATTTGTTGTAAGGACAATGATTTCATTCTGAACTATTGAGAGAAAAAATAGAAAAACTCAAGTTTACAATGTTTGCCTCATCCAACCTATAATCAGTTGGTTTGAATGCTACAGATAATCTTTATATCACTAATTATACAAATTCAGGCAGTGGCATACAGAGAAAGCAGTAAGGGCTGTACACTCAAAAGAACCTGAGTTTGGAACCTCTTTAACTAATGTGGCCACATGTTAAATTATAATAACCCCTCACAGCTTTATTTTGCTGACACATAAAGAGGTGAAAATATGTTGGTTAGTTTTACAATACTGTGGATTGAACCCAAGGTCTCAACCTTGCAGGTAAGTGCTCTACCACTGAGTCCATCCACAGCCTTTTGTTAAATTTTTAAATTTTGAGAATGCTTTAGTAAATTGTTGAGGCTGCCCTCAAACTTGTGATCCTGAGTGGCTTGGATTATAGGTATGAAAATAAGTATTCTAAATTATAGATATAATTATATGTAAATTATACAGATACATATGCACACACATCTACATATATGTACACATTTATCACTTAGGTAATATTTTAAGATAGAATATTGTCTAGAATAGGCAATACAGAGAAGGCAGCTATGTTCCTTTTATAAGTAAAGATTTCATTTTTCCATCATTGTTAATGAAGAAAGAAATTGATAAATTCAAAAATTGTAATTTTCCCTCCATTTAGAATCTTTTTTCCATAGCCCCTCATGTATACTTATATTTCATACCTAGTACTAAAATAATCTCAGTAAATATCATTTTTAATTAAGGCAAACAACAGAAAACATTACCTTTAAGAAAGTAAAGAACTGGAGTTATAGCTCAATGGTAGAGCACTTGCCTAGTATGTGTTAAGGCCTTGCTTGGGTTCAATCCCCAGCATCACCAAAAAAAAAAAAAAAAAAAAAGAAAAGAAAAAAGAAAGAAAATTGAAGTAAAAACAAAAAACAGTCTATTTGATTGTCATGTTCATTGGGTGTCCTTACTAAAGTCTTTTGGAGGAATTTGGTTTTAGTCATAACATGGTTGATTTCAACCTTATAAAAACAAAAATGTTAGTTTTGATTTTTCTCTGTGGGGAAAAAGTATCTTTATTCTTCTAGAGTTGTAGCCCAAGAGATCTGTGACAGTTTCCTTCTCAGATCCTGTTGACTTTTCCTCTAATTCTAGTTCATATGACCTGAAAATGCAAATAGCCTGCCAATCCCTGGGTTAGTAGCAACAGCTTCTACTCCACAGGATGGCAGAGAACTGGAATAGCATCTGGAAGTGTGCAGGCATTATGAACATGCATCCATACCTAGTAAGGACCTGTTCCTCTCTATTCAAATGCTCTGAGGCATCGTTTCTCCTGCATGATGACCAGTAACCTCCCTTTTCAGATATGGGAATGGCTTGCATAGCACTAATAAGTGGCGGGCCTCAAAAGTCAACTCATGAAAGACGTCAAGTATTTCTCTATAGTTTTATCATCACCCACTTTTACCTAAAAGAGGATGAGATCAAACACAAGCCCTAAAATTGGAGGAGCTACAGTAAATAGTTTCTCTGAAAACAAACAAACAAAACCATACAAGTTATACCCAAACAAAATAAGTCATGATGTCAGGTAAATTTTTATGTAATTTAAAAAAAATTCACATTTTTAAACATTGCTTAAATGTACTATTATTTGGTCATGGCAGCTAATATTTGTGTTATCAGATTACTATATCAAGTATGTCATTTAAAAATATAATTTATTTTTATTTTTCCCAAATAAAATTCAACTGATTATCACATTATGTTCACTATTTGAGTGACTTCTTTTCTCAATGACCAAGAACTGAAAACTTTTGGGATTTAAAAATTAAGAATATGTAAGATAAGGAAGCAAAGAAGAGGCACATTTCTGCTTCTGCTCTTAATTAACTTGGTTAAGTATTTAATGTTTATATGGAAAGCACTATTCTGAACACTATTATGAGCACAAAAGAATGTAAGACATATTTTTTGGCAATAGAAAATGAGCCTAAATGCAATTATCAAGAATACAAGTAACAATGATTGTTTGCGAGATTGTGGGGGAAAGGGTATACTCATACATTGTTCAAGGAACCACAAATTAGTACAACCACTCTGGAAAGCAGAAAGGAGATTCCTCAGAAAACTTGGCAAGGAACCACTATTTGACCCAGATGTCCCACTCCTTAGTATATACCCAGAAGATCTAAAATCAGCGTACTACAACGACACAGCCACATCAATGTTTATAGCAGCTCAATTCACAATAGCTAAGCTATGGAACCAACCTAGATGTTCATCAACAATTGAATGGATAAAGAAATTATGGTGGGTAGGGGTGTGTGTGTGTGTGTGTGTGTGTGTGTGTGTGTGTGTGTATGATGGATATATTATATATATGTATATATGATACACACACACACACACACACACACACAAATGGATTATCACTCAGCCATAGAGAAAGGTTTTATGACATTTGCTAGTAAATAAATGAATCTGGAGACTATCAAGCTAAGTGAAATAAGCCAATCCCCAAAACCAAAGGTCAAATATTCTCTCTTATATGTGATGCTAACCCACAAAGAGGGGAGGGGAGGGGAGGGGAACAATAGAAGTTCATTGGATTAGATAAAGGGGAATGAAGGGCAGGGAAGATAGGAATAGGAAAGACAGTAGAATGAATCTGACATAACTTTCCTATGTACATATATGAATACATCACAGTCAATCTCAACATTGTTTATGTCCATAAGACTGGGATACTAATTAGAATAAGGTATATTCCATGCTTATAAAAATATACAAAAATAGATTCTACTGCTATGTATAACTAAAAAGAATAAAAATTTTAAAAAAGTAAATGAGCCTAAATATATTTGCTTCTTTCTTGCTGTTTCTTATTTTCCACTGAATATATTTTGAAACTGGATATTATCCAGTTTCAAAAACAGAAATATTTTCCAAGAGGAAGTAAATCAATGTAAAAATATAAATTAAATTATATTAAATCCTCCTTAACAAACACTAATTTATTAGTCTTATATTCCAAATTTGTTTTTTATATTTTCATTGGGTTAGACCTACTGAATCATTGAATTTAGCTCTAAATTTTTCATCAACATTTCACAATTATTCCCCATGATTTCAGGCCTGGATGTTTAGAATCACCACTGAATTTATTAGCTAATTCCCCCTCATACATATCTGACAAGAGTCTTACTTGGTCTGTGAATGGCCAAGTTATTTTCCAAGGGTGGCCAGTAGAAGGAGAACGTAGCTTCTGTACTGCAATGTCCTTTCTCTACTCAAAATTAATATAAACCTCTACAATCTGACCAAAGGATGGTTTAAATAAGTGTATACTGTAGGTGAAAAGAGAATAAAACCACTTTAGGGATAATAAATTATTTATTTTTAAAATCACCTAAAGTTGACAAAAGGTCATTGCAAAGTGTGTGCAAATCAAAATAAATATTACGTAAATGTACTGTGACCCCAGCGCTAACTTGATGTCAAAATCTTTGAAAATAATATACTAAATCATTTTTGCTAAGAAAGAAGTAGCTTTTAAATCATGATTTCTCAGTAGGAATGCTACTGCCATCACAGTATATGAAGGGAAAAAATAATCAAGATATAAAGAATAGGAAATGATTTACACATGGAGAAATGACATTCTCCATGTGTCTCAGAATGGGACTGAACATTTGAAGTAAAGTCAATCAGCAGCATACACATTCAGGTTTACATATACATACCATAAAAAAGAAACTGGCATAGATATACAGATATCATTGGGACTATGACTTCTTATTCAAATATGAATATTATAGTCTTATGTTTTTTATGAATCTTAACTGGGTTTTGTATGTTAACATGGGTTGGGATATCAGCATTCATAAATCACTTTCTTCTTATTCCCTTGAAATATATCATTGTGCAAGATCAATTTCTCTGATACAAGATGATCCAATTCAATTGAGGAGTCAGGAATACAGAACTGCATGGCTTCTAGGAATCATGTAACAAAATTAACAAAGTGGTAGGATTTAGATGGAAAATTGTTTTCTCTGCAAAAATGGGATGAGCATAAACCAAATGATAGAATGGAGGGAACTACATCATAGGAAAAAGAAGAAACTGTCTTGAGATGGGAATGAGAATTGGGGAAAGTGTAAATAAGATTACATAATTAGATGGTTTGAGCCTTGAAAATCAGGCAGATGAGTTTCATCCAAAATATAGCAAATTGAGTATGATGTAAAATAGGATTGTGCTACAGAATTAAGAGGAAAACAGAAAAACAGAACAGAAATAGATGCCTAGAGGACATTGCTTTTAAGATCTAAGGTTGAAGCTCAACAATCCCTAAGACTTAACATCATCATCAAATGTAACGCACTGGATAGCTAAGAGCACACTTTGGAGTAATACGGACTGAGTTAAATTCTAGGTCCATCACTTATTAGTTGTGGGAATTAATATCTTTGTGATTCAATCTTCAATAAAATGGGACTAAAAATAATGTAACCATAATAGCCTGTAAATGAGGTGGGTATTAAATGAGTCAATATATAAGATTAAATGAGTTGATGTGTGTTAAGGATAGTCCTTGGCACATCATTGTCTACCAATGTATAAGCTGTCAGTGTTTATAAAACTCACCATTCTCTTCGCTTGGGCCCAAATCGGACTTCAAATTTCTTACACTGCGGGCTATCATATCTTCATTGCTTGTATCATACACAGTACTGTGTGACTCTCTGGAAGATATGATATTGTATATGTGTATACTATTCAAACTCATACAATAAGAAAACAGGCAATAATTTCCAAAGACAGATGGACTGAAATAATCATCTCTTTCTGCCAAATACTGAAAATTTAAAAGCAAAGAAAAAATTACAACTGAGAGGAAATGTTTCTGTGAAACCTAAGTTTTTTTTTTTTTTCATATAGTGGTCCTATTACACAGAAAGATATAAAAAGCTTGGGAAAATGGACTCATTACTAAAATAGTGTCTTTATTTTGATATTTTTGGTTATTTGTCTTTTAAAGAAAAAGGAAATTTAATGAAACATTTTTGTCTTCCATCTAGCAAAGTCAATTACGTAAATCGTACTTGAATTGACCTCACTGATTTTTTTCTAGTGACAGAATGGTTTAATTTGGAGACAATCCCATGCAAATTATGTTAAACCTCTGATGAAGATGATTTATTTTACTTGGCTGATTTCATCTTTATTCATGGTGTTGCATCTCAAACATAATATATGTGGAATTCACTATAGCTTTAGTTACCTAGGATAATATGGAAAGTGCCTTTCTGCATCATAAAGTTGACTGTAAAAATAATACTGGGGATTTGAACTTATACTCTAATACAGAGAATTCTTTTCATATGCCAGTGAGCATTTGATAAAAATTAAATGTTTCCTTTAAGTCAAATAAGTAATAGGCAAAATATACAAAAACATGCAAATTATGTTATGGCTTATATGACACAGGGATATTGAACTAGTAAATCTGATAGACTTTGAACACAATTACATACAAATAGATATGCTACTAATAAATATTTTTATCATGATGATGATAAGAGTGGTAGAATCTAAACAAAAGAAAAGTACTAACTAAAAAAGAATAGTACTAACTAAACAAATTGCCAGCAACACTCTGGCATTCAGACTACTTACGGTCCATCTGTGTTTCTAGTTTCTTGGTTTTCTTCCTTGGAGTTTGGAGAGGCCTCTCGGCTATTGATGCCAAGGGCTGAGTCAGAATCATTTTTCAGTGTATTTGTTATATCAGTAGATGCAAAAGGAATGTCTGGTGACTTCAGAGAAATATTTTCCACCTCATCTTTAGGCCCTTCACTCAGTTCTTCCTTTTCTTCTATTTCTTCCAGGCTATAATCAGAGCTTATTCCAGCTACAAAGAAATGCATATATCATCCTGAATATTAATTTATTTCATTTACCCTATGTAATACTAGCAAGGAAGGAATATTTAATAATTAGCTGAAGTCTTTAATCAGGTTCAAAATTAGTAGTGAAATGTTTTTCTCATGTGAATAATCATGTTAATATATAACAAGATTGTCTCACATGCATATAATCCTAAATACAATTTGCTATCACTCTAGGTTTTATTCATAGAAGATGATTTAGCATCATAAATGTCAAGTTAAATATTTCATTTAAGAGTACGTTTTTTAAAATGATTTTAAATCCATGCTGTAAATCAATGTAACTTAAATACAAGTTTATTTTAATGCAAATTAAACAAGCATGAGATTTTTGCACATAGAGTTTGACTCAGTAGTTATTAGCACTAACTATACCTGAAAATTATCTGAACCCCTTTTGAAAATACTCAAGCTCATACCCTACTCCTTAGCTATTAAATAAAAATCTCAAAAGGGTGGAGCCAAGAATGTTTAAGGTTCCTCCGGTGATTCTACTGTGCAACCAGGGTTAAATGATCTAAATGTTTAATATGTTTTTAACCTGGAAACAAGTATGAAGCACTGATAATTTTTACTACCACCCAGTTTGATCCTCAGAGGCAACTTCCTCCAACACATGTTTCCTGTATATTGTCAGAAAGCATAACATGCACACATAAGCAGATATCCATATTCACATTTCCTTTTTTGTTGGTTTATTTAATATAAATATAAGTATATTATACCCAATGTTTCGACCTAGCTTTGGATCTACTTATAATACCTTAAATATCATATACTAATATGTGTAGTTATCATTTTTCAACAGTTGTGGCTAATTTTTCATTGTATAAAAATGTGTTTTATCATTACTTCTTAGTATTGACAACCAGTGGTACTATGATAAAGTTGGAGACATCCTTAGCAGTTGATGTCCATAGTTAATGGTCAAGATGAGCTGTGAAAATAAATTTAAACCAAACACTAAGGTCCTGGAATTTTCTTAAATAAAATTAAACATCCAAGTAAAGTTTTATTTCTAAAGGAGGGAAATATGTTACGGCATTGGATTATAGTGATCAGCACATTCACAAAATTTAATAAAAATTTTAAGATATTTGAAGCTTATACTTAAAAATATAATTTTATCTCTTAATGTGGAGATAGAAAAGTATGTTCATTGTGCTTCTTAAGAAACAGGCATTGAGCCTAGAGATACAGTTTAGTTAAAAGCTTGCCTAGCATGCTTGAGGCCCTGGGTTCCATCCCCAGCCTCAGGCAGTATTGCATGACTGTAGTCCCAGCACCTCAGGAGGCTGAGGCAGGAGGACTGTGTGAGTCTAGGACTTCAAGGTCAGTCTGGGTGACATAGCAAGACCCTGTATCAAAAAGAAACAAATATGGGGTACTTTAAATTAACAATAAAAAATGCCCCCATTAATAGAGTACTAAGAAGTATTTAAAAATTTAAGTGAATTTTTATATGTACATATTTTGGCAAATGTTGCTTTATCATGACATGTGCAATAGCCATTATGATGCCTTGTGCAATATTATATGTCTATAATATCATATCATAGTAAGAGTGTATTTATATAAGTTGAAAACTGTGTACTGAGAAAAATAAAAGCCCATGATGGTTCAGATGTAGAAGTGTTTTATACATGATTTTTCAGTATGTATTCAGCTCTTTTGAAAATTATATTAACTGATGTGCTGTTTAGCAAATTACCCATCATTATCCCTGTATTTCTCATGCTGTCACAAGTATTTCAGATACATAACTTTTTTTTTTCCCCAAGTATGAGGTCCTCACTGAGAAACTGGTCTCAATTAAGGTATAAGGCATGAGTAAGATGTTTCAAAAATTTTTTCGAATTTTTCTGGGATGATTTGATGGTTGTAAACATCATACCAGCTTGCTTAAATATATATTTTTATCCACTTGAAAAGCATTCCTATTATTAAAAGTCTTAGAAAAGGCAATAATTATTTTTTACCCGTGCATGATAATTATTCATAATGGCATGATTCATTATGTCATGTGCCTACACATTATGCACATAATTTAATCAATCTCATTCCCTACTACCTGCCCTTTCCCTCCACTCCTCCCTCTCCTTGATTGGCTTCTCTAATGATCTGCCTTCCATTACTATTATTTTAATTAGTACACTATAATTATATATAAAGGCAGGATTTATTGTGGTATGTTCATTCGTGGACATAGCAAACTTTGATTGATTTCATCCACTAATACTTTCCATGCCCTCAGCTCCTCCCTCCCTTTCCATCCCCTTCTTCTACTCCCTTTCATTTCCATGAGATCCCTTTTCCCTTCTAACTTCCATATGTGAGAGAAAACATACAACCCTTGTCAGAATATCTGAGTCTGACCTATTTCACTTAGAATGATATTAAGAATTTCTAATCACCCAAGAGAATTTTCAGTCTGTTTGATTAGCACAGGTAAGCTCACACTTTGAAAAAAAAAATCAAGTTTATTTAGTATGTGCCAAATTCTAGCACTAAAATAAAAAAAGAAATGGGGAAGGGGCTGTGAACAATGAATAAGTTTCACAAGTGTTCTATCAGAACTATTTTATTTCAGGTTTAAAAGTTCTAAAGGCAGCGTATTCACTTTCAAAGAACATGGTGTTCTAAATCTTAAAGTACTGTTAAGAATTCTCAAGAATAAATATGAAAAGAAATTATTTAAATTGTTTAAAAATCATTTGAAAGTATAATGATTGAAGTTTCTTTTATTTTAGATAATTTGAATATTTTAACTTATTTTTTTCAGTCCCTTTAAAAATAGCAAATACTGACTGAAAAGAATATTTTTTAATTATTTAAGATTAAAAAACAATTAACATATGGAAAAGAAATGTAGCTACTTAAACTTCCAAAAGACATTTTTGTAAGTCTGTAGCATTTTACTTGTGAAGTTATTAAAGTTTAAAATTTAACTAGGACTTTTAAGATATCTAATATATTTTTTGGGGATCATAAAAATGGCAAAGTAGCCTGTTAAATACTATTCCTTTGCAAAAATATAATTGTGTTAAATTAATCCTATTCAAATACAATCCCTTTTTTCTGTTATTCGTTCATTCAAATATGCTATGTCACAGCACTGTTGATGCTACTAGAATTGTTTTTCTTTCATCCTTGGAAAATAATTTCCATTCAGTAAAATTCACATGATTCTTTGGATTTTGATGGACTGATATAGTTGTGTAAATACAATTACCACCACAATTAAGACACAGAAAATTCTATTAGTCACCTAAACTTCTTCACACTTCCTAATCTCTGGCAACCATTATCCCTATAGTTTTACCTTTGCAAAAGTGTCACATGAATAAGAATGTAACATCTAGGCATTTATATCTGGGCTTCCTGACTTAACATAATGTTTTAGATTCAGCCACATTGTGAGGATTCACTGTTGTTCCTTTTTTATGGTTAAGTAGAAGTACTGTATTCTAAGACATGGATGAACTACAATTTGCCCATTCTTCAGAATGGGGACATTTGAATTCCTTCTCATTTTTGGCAATTCTGAATCTAAACTATATTATATATAGTGAATTTATTGAAAATAGTAAGGTTTAAAAGTTCCCTCAAAAAAAGCAGGAACTCAAATAGAAGGTAAAACTCTACAGAATTCCTAAGTTTATTAATCTTACATTGCATCATATTCATTTATATAGTTTACTATTGTAAACTCTAACCATGGATAAAATTTCAAGTGAAAAGAAATTCCAATTTCTTTATGAAACATTCTTACAGAAAGGCTTCACAAGTAATCAAGTCTATAATGGATGATGTCTTAATCTGCATAAAACAAAGCCACAATCAGGAAAGGCCTGACACCTACATGTCAATGATGCTATGGCTGCCTCAGGCGTTCCAGGGCCCTCAGAGAGAGAGGCTTCATCTGTCAGTTTGGGAACCGTGCTCTGTTCATGACTGAGGAGCCCAGGGCCCAGGTAGGCTTCTGCCAAAGAAGCAGATTCTGTAGAAATGGCACTTAGACAACAAAGTTAAGGCAAGCAGAGACCAGAAAGCATTTTCGAAGAAATCAGATTTCTGAGCTCACAATTATCCATGCATTAAACAAGAGGATGAAAAGAGAACAAAGGGAGAGAAACAGATACCGAGCAGAGTTTGAATAGCATGCACATCTTTTTCCAGTACTTCAAAATCTTCTAATTTCACTATACATATGCTAATGTTATTCATTACATTTCCTTTGTAGAATAAGATGGTATCACTGATATTATTCTGAAAAAAAATCATTATTAGTTATATAATATTTTAAATCACAAACACAGGAGTAAAGAATTCTTATATATATTAATTTCCAAATTCCTATATCATAAAGATTAAAGATTCAGATTAAAATTTAGGTGCTCCTGGACTAATTTGTGAAAACAAACTCTAAAAATTAGGTAGTCATAATAAGTATTTGTTGTACTTACCAAATTATCCCCATGCTAAGGTACTAGCATATAATATTGTATTTCTGTATCACATTTCCAATCTATTGTATTCACTTATGTCTAACAAACGCTAAAGGTGAGAAATTTTATTGTACATCTTTTTATAAGGGCCACTAAGTAGCTATTATTGAAAATATTGGAAATGGTATTAGATTGAATCATTCTATTTTTACTGGAATTTTACTTATTTGAGGAGAACTGTTAATGCAAGTTATATAATAGAAATTATTTTCAGGGTAACAAATTTTTACCATGACAGTAGGATACCTGGTCATTGAATTCATACCTAGAAGCATTGCTTAAAGAAACTATGCTTATATTTTAATGTAAATTTTTTTCCCTAAACATACCAAACGTTTCTAACTATCATGTGTCAGTACTCTTGGGAAGGAGGTTAACAAATGTCGACCTGACATTCAATAAGGAAAAACAAGAGACCAAACAGGGAAAGTCCTCCAGGTATAATTCTAGAACTGAAATGTTGATCTTGTGCCAGTTTCAGACTCTAATCTCTACTCCTGGGGGGAGTAAGGGAAGGAGAATTCATTTCACAAAGAAATAAATTTGGGAAATGAGGTCAAAGAATCTGATCTCTTTCATATAGAGCATTCTAATTAAATCCATTCCTCAATTGTCATGGAAATTCTTTTTCAGTACTGACACAGAATGGAGTCAAGGTGTCATACCTGGGCTGGATGGCCCCTCAGGGGAGCTTGTTTCCAAAGCACTGTCTGGAGGAATCCCATCTACTAACTGCAGGGCTGAAAGGAACAACACAACTTATAAACAAGCCTCATACATAAAACACCTTTACAGCTTCACTGTAGCTTTTTTTTTTTTATACAATCCAGAAAGAATTGAGCTCTGACCTTGCTAAAAGTCATTTTACTACCCAACTGTGAAATGACAAAATTCCACTTAGATTCATTCCTCTTACTATATAAGTCAATCCTGGAGTGGCAATGTTTTCTAAATAAGTTTACAAATTACAATCTGCTCATTTTAGGATAATGAAGCCATATAATTTTGTCATTTTATTTTGTGTTGCAGATTCATAGAAAGCAGTCAAGTGAGAATAATCAGGGACTATTTATAAATCCTAAATGTCATTATTTAATAAAAAGACAAACATATCATTTCTGTTTGTATTAAGCAGAACATAATACAAATGATAGTGTTAATGGGAAAAGTAACATTACCAGTCACTTGGCCATTTCCATCACTGGAACTCTGGGCTGCTTTGGAGGGTGGGGAAGGTGCTTTTCGCTTTGTTCTCCTCAAAGATGAAGTCCCGATGGAGGAGCTACTGAGCTGCAGTGAGTCTGTTCTCACCATGCCTGCTTCACAGGGACTCTGTAAAAAACAAAACCACCAAACACAATCTTATATTTAGAAATTAACTGCAAACCTTATGAAGACACAGATCTTTATAACAAATCCATCATCTACCAAAATGAAGCACAATAGTAATTTATTCAAAAAATAGTTATGGAACAAAAGAAAATCTGTGAAGTAAGGTAAAATGTAAGGAAAAATAAAATATGGCCCTCCTCAACTAACTTAGACTAGGACAGGGGACAAATATGAAAATAAATTGAAATGTAGAAGGCTTTTGAGAAATACAGTTAAAAACTAACTTTTACAGAAGAATCAGAGAAATTATTGAATGTAAAGTAAGGGTTAAAAAGGGGAAAAGTACTGGTACACTAATAGCTGGCTTGGTTAATCTATCTCTTATTAGCACCAGTGTATCAGTGGAAAATGTTTCAAGAATTTATATTTACCCAAGATAAGGTCCTTGAGGTCACAGACTACAAATGGCTACTGCTCACCTTCCTGGAAGGTGAATGTCTGCAGACCCTAGGACTATCCTGCCTCCTCAGGCAGATTGATGCCTCCTGGCCTACTGACACGCCATCTTTGCTCTTTCACTTATAACAAAACTTAGAGTTGTTCATAGTTTATTTCTGCAATTTCTCTTTTCCCATTTGAGTTTCCCAATTAAACTTTTACCAACCCTTGACCCATTAACACTTTTCCTATCAAAATCACCAATGACCTTGACCACAAATAAATCAGTGGTCATTTCTCAGAACTCTTTTTTTTTTTTGGACCTGTTAGCAGCAATAAACACACATGACCTTCCTTCTGTAGTGCTTTTTCTTACCCAGAACACCACATTCCTCACTCTCAACAGATCCATACTCTGGCTGCTCTGCTTTCTTGGTTTATTACTTTTCATCTTCTGACCAACATTGGTGTCACCAGAACTCTGGCCATATTCTTGTTAATATCTATACTTAGACTCTCTCTTGATGATTTGTTACCTTTAAGTTTTATATACATGTTGATGGTTGTAAACTCATGTCTACTCCATCCAATGACCTGTTTTGGTCTCCACATCAAGGCCACTTCAACTTAGCACGTCTAAAACTGAAATCTTGGCAGTCATTCCTTCTCTTCCTTCTACCCCAATTTCTATACTTCTCATGGTCTTTATCTCAGCAAAAAGCAAGTCATCCTTCTGTTTGCTGTCATCTCCTCTCTCATCATCCATAACAAGTCTATCCTGTTGGCTCCTCACTTAAAAGGCACCCAGCATCAGCTTGACTTCTACCAGAGTCTGAATCATTGACAACACTCTAACAGGGCTCTATTTCTACGCTGCATGCCTACTGTCTTTTCTCAACATAGCAGAAAAAAAGGATCCTGTTAAAGTGTGTAAGTCATTTTAGGATGTTTTGTTCAAAACCTTCTAGTATTTTCCTAATTGGCACAGAAAATCTAAGTCCTTTTAATTGATGACCTGGTTCCTAGATGTCTCTGACCATCTGTAAGGACAGAACAGCTCACTCCAGTCACACTGGCCTTTTTGCTGCCTCTCATGTGTGCCTGGAGTGTTCCTGGGGTGGCTACCCTGGCTGTTCCTGTACCTAGAATGTTCTTCCTTCTGATAGCTTAATGTCTTCCTCCCTCATTTCCTTCTGGTTATTTCTCACATGTCACCTTCCAATGCCTTCCTCCCTGACTCCAAAAGTTTCTATCCCATTTCCAAGCTTTATTTTTTACTATCAGCCTTTAACAGCTTTTGGCTTATTTACTGGTTTATTATCTGCTTCCACTGGAATTGGCTGTAAGAGCAGGAACTTGTTTTCCTATTTTGCTCATTGCTGTAATTCTAGAACAATTGTTTGGCACACAGAAGTTTCTCAATAAATATTTAAGTGAGTGGAAAATGAATTCTATATTCTCTTCTTCATGGGTAAGAAGTCTTGATAAACTTGGACTAGATGTTTGTGTACATTTGGGTCATTCCAATCTTACAGGACCATGTAAGTACATCCAAGCAAAATAATCCAATACATAAGAAGTTTTCTGTCTTTGTGCTTTGCTACACATCCAGAAAAAATTGACAAATTTGCTATTTCATAACTTTCTAATACTTCTGCCAGAGGGGGAAAAAAAAACCTTCCCCAAAAGAAAAAAAAAAGATTTAAAAGCCATCATCACTGCCAACTGTGTGAGATACTGAAGACAGCGATGGATCACTACAGGGATAGAAACACAAGCCCACATGGCAGATGCTATACTATACAAACCCCTCATTCATCATTCCTCTTAAGGAAGGAGAGACAAGGTGGCTGGTGATCTCACCATCCCACAAAATATTAAACTTCTACCATATTAGTTGGTATATAGTTACAGCTAGCCCTTGCCATCATATTGTGCTGTTCCTTCTTCAGAACTCAGACCTCCAATAATCTAGCAAGAAAAGAAAATCTGCCACTCAAATTCAGATTTTGATTCTGAGTCACTAAAGTCAATTCTGATTAACTATAGTGATCATTCCCCCCACCCCAGGAGGTCATGGGATGGATCCCCAACAGACCTCCTAAATAATTCAAGAGAAGGATCCTCAGTAATAAACAGCTGATAAAGAAACATAGTGAGGAATTAGCAGTAAATATTGATTTGAGTAGATTATAATGCCTCTGTGGTCTGAAACTTTTACTTGATCTCTTATAATATTAGCAAATTCAGAGAAACTCAAGGAGATGGTTAAATGCTAAAAGAACATTTAAAAATATTTGTCTAAAAATCAAAAGTTGTTATTTCTTGAGAAACTGACTTCAGTATAGCCTTATTCAAGCATCACTCTCACTGCAGACCTGGTTTATTAGTAATAATGCGGTAAGAGCACAACCAAGTAATGACATCTTTGATTTTCCTCCTTAATTTCATGTTTCTCACGTTTTGACTGATTGCTTTCATGAGGTATATAATAAAAATACTTCCATCTTAGGCCATATTCTCAATCACTGTCACTTATAGATCTCACCTATTACATGCTAAAAGCAGTCATGATATGAACTTCACAGACAATAGTGTGTAAGAGCTAAAGACTTTCATAATACAGTAAAGCAGACAGCATAGAAATTTTAAAAAGAGAGGAATTTTTATACTCACAAATTCATGTGAACCTATCCATAACTCAAAGACAGAATACCCACATATTCATATATTTATCAGTCTGGAGATCCTAAAATAAGCTAACATTTTTGTACAGAATATGTATGTTTCTCTTAATAAGGAATTTAAAACTTGTCAAAATAAATAAATAGCATTTATGAAGACAACTGAGGGAATGCAAAGCCCTGGATACCCTGGGAAGCATATATAGTAAAATCATTCTACAAAACACTGGTATAAATGGATGTACATTTCTAGAGTTGCAGTTTGAACCACAGACTCTCAGAACAAGGACATTAGGAGAGACATCATTCTTACTAATTGATACGAGGTAGAACTTGTGCCTGTCATAACTAGATTCCATCCTATGATTAATAGTGAAAACTTGCTAAATAAAGAGACAAAATATAAATGTAACAATTGGTATAAGAAGATCCAAAAGCAGGAGTTCTGAATTAATAAGAATTGTAAGTTTAGATAATCAATACAAGATTAATAATAGAAATGTAAATTTTGAGATGTGATACTAGTAATAGAATTTAAGAAATAGCTTTATATTTTCAGTCGTCCTATAGGATACAGAAGAGGTTAGTTGTTTTTATAAAAAGAGACTCTCAGAAAAGAGCTTCAGTCAGTTAAGATAACAGCCAAAAAAAGTTACTAAAAGTCAAATTTGAAGTTTTTTGGGGTTGACTAAAATATCACTACTAAGACGACCTGGAGAAGTACTTGGTCTTTGAGGAAAAGATGTTCTGTATCTACTAAACATATCCTTCTCTTGGGTGAAAATCTGCTGGAAAAGATGGAGTATTTACATTAGAACACTTAAGTATTTCTTGGTTAGACTGCAGCCAAGAAGGCTGGTGTGTACTCAGATATGTATACTGTATATATATCCTAATACAAAAGATTGGAAAGGCTCCAAACACACACACACACACACACACACACACACACACACATATTTTAACAGTGGTTGTAACAGGAATACTTACAGCTAGAAAGTAAACTTCCTAAATTACCACAGTTATTTAAGTAATACACAAGTTTCCATTTAGAATTTATTCTCCTGTGTCCTTCAGGATGTGCTCCCAATAGTCTCCAAGTAACCCTACTTTTGCACTGATCAGAATTCAATCACCTGGTGTGCTGAATGTGAATCTGTTTAAACCAGAGGGAGGTTCATAGAAGTTTTTCATGTTGGAAGATAGCCCACCATAATGATGATCCTGGGGTCAACACTAGGGGCAGAACCAGGAAACTTGCCATTTACTGTCTCTGTGACCTTCAATCTCCTCATCTATAAAAAGTAACCATATCTATGTTAAAAGGTGCTGTGATCCTTAAATGATCCACAGCATATATAAAATGGTGCCTAGTACACAGTACATGTTCCATATATATCAGCTGTTATTACATGACATCTGTTTTAAAGCATGTGAATGTATTCCGTAAACAAAATAAAAACATGATAGTTATTAAGGTTAAAGTGAAATGTATGGATATAAAAAAAAGGAGGTACTTAAGACTGTCTTTCTCTTTGGTGACAGTGGCAGTGGAAGTCCTACTGGAAACAATCTCAGTTATGATCAACCTTAAAACCCAACAGTGTTCAATGTTCAGGAACCTGTGCTTAGTCCGCTGAGTAAGCCAAATTCACTGTTCTAAAATTCGCCACCTTTAATCACTTCAAGTTATTTCATCATACCATGAAGGACTTTAATAAAAGTTAAATATTTAACAC